GTTCATCTGGAAATGCAAACTGCCATCGTGGTTTCGAGGGAAAGGCTACGCGATAGCCATCGCCACTGTTGCACATCGTACTCGTGAGCTTCATCCGGGTTACCGCTGGTGAGTTCGGGTGTACCGTGAACTACCATGGTTGTCTGTTCTTGGGTGTCTGGCGCAGTTATGGCTGCTGCACGTACCGACCACGGCTTGTCATGCCTGATACGAATCGGCGCGAACAATTTGACCGATGGTCTTTAGGATGTGACGATAATGTCTTCAGCAAGTCGTGCCGAGTCAAGAGTTACCCTCATTGGAGGGGGTTTTCCTTTCGATGCATTTTCGCCTTTGAAAAGGCGGCATATTTTGGCTGGTACGTAGCACATTCCTAGTGTTGTGCTGAGTTTATCCCACTGCTCTTTGTCGAAGGCAGCCCTACCTTCTAGCAAGCTTCCTTCCGACACTGAGACATTGAATAAAATAAGTGAGTTGGATCTTTTGTCCCTGGTATTGGGTGGAAGCCGCTTGTGAGTTAAAGTGTTGCTCTTTCTCTTCTTCACGTTCACCCATTGTTTCCTGTTGCTGGCAGATACTAGGGGGTTAAAAACAACCCGCAGTTTTGTCGGTCTGTTAGGCACGGTTGTGGAAGCCTTGGTCACTTTTACTGGTTTAGTGCCAGGCGATTTTGCTTTGTTCGTTTGGACTTTGGGGCTGATTTAAGGTGGGATCTGTGGCTTTGTCAGTGACTCAGAAACTATACACTGAGGGCAGATGTACCAGAACCATGGGGAGGGGTGACTCAGCATGAAACCGTAGTACTCTTGAGATACTGTATTGTCGCATTGACAATGTACCCATGTACTACAGAAGTTGAATTCGAAAGCATGGTCGCTGGTTTTGAGTAGTGATGAGCAGGCAAAACAGTCGTCCTTATGCTGTTTCTGGGCGTTGTACTGTGTCGACCGAGCCTTGGAGCGTCTTTTTCTCCTATTCTTAACTAGCTTAATGGTCTTTTTAGGAGTAGGAGTGGCGTCTTACTTCCTCTGTGGTATCTGGGTTGAGTGGTCTAAAGTATGGACACTGAGAGGCGTACTATCGACTGACTTTTTGGGTTTTCTAGCAACCCGTTCGCACGACATTCGGATTTTCGATGCACTATCGACCCCGGGGTTCATGCCTCTATAAGTTTTCCTAGTTGTTACAGTGTAAAGTGTACTAGCGACCTTATTACTTGACATGATGCCAGGGAGATTAGGAGGTGAATACCGAGATTAAAATACGAGATACACAAAAAAGGGGTTTAGGGAAGAAGAGATTTAGTACTACATAATAATACTACAAGGAATAGAGCCTGAAAGTACTCCAAAATTGCAACTTTAACTTTGACCGTATTAGTAAGTAACTTTGCGTGTATCCAGTAACTTGTCCACAAGTTCTGTGTTTGTGAGTGAGTGGATGTAAATATGCTGCCGAACCAACTAGAAATACAGCAGTTGAATGAGGTAGCTAGACCAACCGGGCAATCGTTATGACATGGAATGGTTCCTTTTGACCGAAAATGTTTTCAGATTGTCAACCAGCGAATGGAGACAACTTTTTATAGCTTCGGAGGTGAAAAAGTATCCCGAAAGTGGATGGAAGACACTAAGCCAGGACACGAAGATTTCGAAGCGCGTGCTTGAGGTTCTATAAAAGCATCGAATAGTTTTACAAACCTGAAGTGACCGCGGTGTCTGCCAACCAAGAAGGGGAGTTCGACCTTTGGCAACTCCAATCCAACTACCGGTGTCCTAGACATAAATTCGTGCCCAGATATCTCTGAGTCCTCATCCAAACCTTGTTCCTTAGTACCCTGTAAAAATGACTTACAACAACACGTACTAAACATAATATCGTCCTTACTAGAGAGTGAACCCTTTAAAAATGAAGTTTCATGAGGGACTTGCCTCATATCCCGCGATTCTTCAAGGACTCAATCTCTCTTCGTGTTTGCTTTCTTTCAAGAACTCATGATCAATTGAAATCCAACGGAAAGGAAATAATGAAGATCAAATATAAAATTTCACCGGTAAATCTTCTTCGGCAATGAGAAATCGAAAAAGACCAAAGGATCGTCTTTCTAAAATACTGTTTGAACAAATTAAGTAATAAGTAATCCAAAAGTTCTTCTTCCAGGAAATTTTTGTGATTGTAAACGATGAAAATTCCAAGATCTTCTATTGTTGGGACTGTAAATGGATTTTCTACTCTAACAGTTCACTCCGTTTCGAAAAGGTGCAGTTAGGTACGCGCTCCCATCGGATCCGAAACCAAAACACAATAATTCTCGGAGAAAACGGTCCCATTAGGCAATAAAATGGAAATACAGACAACTACCAAACAACAGTACACCTTCTATTTCCAAGTAACACAACGAGTTCCGTTACCGGAAGAATAAATGCTTCCAGTCCGTACTGTTGAAGCATCAAATCCAAATATGGCTGTAGCCATATTATATCAAATTTAAACAACATATGTACAGTTCAGAAGGAAACATAAAAACTTCAATATAAGTACAAGATGTAGAAATAATAACAATATACAATGATAAAATCTCAAAATGAAATCAAATAGAGTACCGAAATGTCAACAGAAAGAGTCAGTCATATCATAACGCAAATATATATACATGGGGGGATTTTCCAAAAAACAAAACATTCGAAATAGATTCTACACCGGCCCGCAAAATCCCTGCATGCAAAACGAGCCCTTTCTGACACTTCAATTTAGGGTTCACTCTCATCCCCTAATCCACTCCGGAAGAACGAGTAGGACTTAGAGCAGTACGCCTACCGGCCCTCCAACATGGATATGACCTATCAAGCTAACTAGGTACCTGTACCTTCCCATCAGGCCCTTGATTACCCTATCTATCTCATCTCGCTGGATGGAAGAACAGCATTAGTATCGCAATTCAAAACCGATAAACTCACTTGTTGTTCTTCATGTTCCGTTTCACAGACAAAGACATGTGCACATCAATAGCATCGTTTTCATACTAGACCGTAGACTGGCTGTTACCATCAAACACTTATTTCTCATCATCACTCGGCTGACAGTCAACCGGAGTAGGAACAGTTACTGTTACACAACTTTGTGCATCTTCAATCAACCTCACATTTGAGACAGGGTTCGATGACGTCAAAACACTAGAAGGCTCATTCAATGAAGTTGATCGACTACTCACTGTAGATGGATTGCTCACACTTTCTGTCTCTTTACTATCGCAGTCACTACTAAGATTCTGATGACCAATATTTCCATTGCTAGCCATAGCATCCGAAAGAGAACGAAGTTTACGCTTCTTAATAATAGTGGCATCATGTCGTTTCTTGTGCTTCTTAGCTTAAGTAGCAGTATGTGAGCGTGACGTACGATCATTTCGACGACGATGAGTGTCTTTCAACTTCCATCGATCACTATTACTCGCAGGAGTATCAATGTTATCATCAGTAGCCGCAGCTGTACTAGTAGCAGTCACCTTCCCATGACATACAATCGACTCATGTTCAGTGTCTAACTCTACTCGATCACGATTACTTTCCTTACTAGGAATGCTCTTAACCTCATCTATCTTATCACTGTCGGTAGTGCTCATTCCGATACTTGTAGTACAAGTCAACTTCTTTATAAACAGATAGCGTCGATTTGGTTCTGTGTAGTATAATTTGGTGAAATCCACGTAGCCTAATATTTGTGTTTATATGTTGCCCTCTATGACCTGTTAGTGGAAGGCACAGTCGTTTGTACGTTGAGCACTTTCTAATCCATGGCTGTAGTATCACAGCGTCTCTCCTGAAGCTATTGATTGTTACCCAATCTGCGTCCGAAGGTTCTCAATAATTCTGGGCAACAGCAGGTTGTATCTTTTACTTTCTGCAGCAAACTAAATCAGTACAGTGTATGAACACTCAATGTACTTATTTAAATGGTAGCTCTGGTTGTAAGAATGTGCATTGGCCTCGTGAATTCTGACGTAACTCGGCTTTCATCATGAGACGTCACAAATATTCTAAATGAAGACTTTTCAACTGCTGCAGCAGAGTTCAGTTGGTTTAAATTATTTATCGTCGTTAGCGGTTTTTAGCGAATTAATTTTCCATGGGATGGTTTTGTCAACCTCATACCTAAGCCATCTCCTTTATTCAGGCTTGGGACTGGCTCCAACCCCAGAATAGCTCCAGACAAACTTTTACCTTGTTGGGTTTATAAGACTCCAGCTTGTTGAAGTTTCTTCTAAACTTTGTCTAACCAAAACGTGGCAGTGAACCATGGATTTAAGGTTGTGTTGTATAACACCCTAGGATCGTCGTGAGTCAGGGTTAAAGACACTGACGCCTCCCTCATTTTGTGGTTATTTACAGTTGTATATGTATTAGGATGTAAAACAGCTCGACTATGTAGATAAGCTATAACTAAAAATAAGAACAGTTTACTAGAAAGCTGCAGCACACACTTGACAACCTTCTCCTCTTCCGGTCAATTTCGACGTGCAGTAGCATTGTGAATTTACAGTTCGTTCTACAAAGGACTTAAAAATTAAGGAACATGGATGTGGATTTGTTTTATTTCCACAAGTACTTGCACTATAGCCTTTGGAATTTACCATCGTTTTCTGTTTAAGATTTATCAGTGTCTTAGATTGATTTTAGCTGGGGTCTAGAAATAACCTGTGATGTTTCTAAAGCAATGCGAAGAAACACTCTTTGTATCATTTACAGCAAGACGAGATTAGACCTCCTTCATGGTAAGGCTATAGCTGCTGGTATTCATAAACACTGCTGCTCTGAAAAAAACGTAATCATTCAAATCGTGGGACATAAAATTTCACAAACAACTGCCAACTAACTAGCATTAGTCCAGTCAAGTGGCTAGACTACCATTCATTGCGAACTGCCAACTAACAACCTGGAATTGTATCACAAAAAGCCAGTCGATTTATTCTAGCACGTGTAACAGACATTGGATATTGAATTGCGATACTTTGCGTAATTCGGATCTGGGTACCAGCGAAAAGTGCGGTGCGTTTGGTGCATGTCGCGAAATGATGGCTGCGGTCATCACAACACTTTTAGTTTTCTCCTGCAGTTTAACAACATCTTTGAGTAGTGACAGAAAACCAGGAGATTCGGACGAAATCATCTATTTACCAGGTGCTTGGCCACAACCGAATTTCAAGCAGTACTCTGGATATCTTCATGGATCTACTGATAAAGTCAACATTCATTACTGGCTTGTTGAAGCTGCTTCGTCACCGAAATCCGCTCCGCTGATTTTATGGCTAAATGGTGGACCTGGATGTTCTTCTCTAGGAGGTTTACTTAATGAAAACGGTCCCTACTTAGTAAGTTCCTAGTGACACTTATGGTTTTTATGATGTTCAGTATATTTACTATGAAAATCATGGCAAACCGCTTACAAATTGAACGGCTTCCTACTCTTATCGACTCTTTGATTCCCTTTAATTCAGACTAGAATATATTATCTTTGCACTTTACTATAGTAATTTGAAATTTTTCCTGCAATTTCACTCCTAATCAGTTTTGAATATTTTCATAACAATGAGCACTTAGTTGAGACCACCAAATCAAATTTGGTTAAGTTATGTGTTAATTGCTAAAAGATTTGTATGATCACCGAGCTTAACATATGTATTTAAGTTTTCATGTTATGCCGTCTATATAGAAAATTATAATCGAATCCCATATGCTTTGTTAAAAGAATAACACAATAATGCACTTGAAAAAATCTACCAACTTTGTTAGTCAGCTGTAGTTCATATTTCTATGAAGACTTCTGATGTTGTTTTGAGAATTTTATATTTTGTTGAATGATCACTTGTTTGCAGAGAGCAATCAAAATATTAGTGAAGTTAAAGGACAATCTACCTGTCTCCGGACGTTATTACTCAAGATTTCTCCTAGGAAGTCTGTGTATCTCCAGAGTATATGTTAATACTAGTAGCCGTGTTGGTAAGTGTAGAGTATTTGATTGGGTTACGCGAGACAGTAGTAACTGATGGTTAGAAGAGACCTTGAATAATGTCTCGAGATTGTTTGCAATGGCGCAGGTGCACCCCTCCTCTATTTTCTCTCAAATCCTAATCTGGATTCAACATCACCTTTATCTTTTTCTTTTTAAGCTTATTTCACTAGATTACACTTCTTGAATAATATGTTCGAACCCTGATTTTCTCGATTACCGCTAATACTTCTACTGCCTCTACTTCTGTGTGGTTCGAATTAAAAATTTCATGTCTGTGCTAATGTGGTATGGCAACTTGAACTGATGTACGTACGTGCAAAGTTCCACAAGGTAGCTAACTGACTGACCAGTAGCCCAATAATCACTGTAATCCCTGAAAACAGTGGAACCTTAATCTGACGTGTTGTGAGTCATGCAAAATAAAAATCGTCACTTATCTTACCTAAATGAATAACTATCGTTGTTATTGAATTTTACTGTTTCAACTCCAGAAAGGACCTCGTCTTGTGGAAAATCCGTACTCCTGGAATAAAGTGAGTCAATAAGATTTTTTGTTAAGCAGATTTTATTAAACACCTCAAAAATGCTTTTAGTCTTTTTCGTGAATAAATCTAGTTTGTTTAGTTATGATAACACTTATCAATGTGCTTATCAACACATTGTTCAACCAAATGCCATCAATAGCAAGTTTACTTCTTACCGGGCTTGTCTTTACTACTCTACAGTTATAAAATACAGCTGCTGTTAGCAGACCATGTAGTAATTTATTTTGTTTCTTGATAATTGCTGACATGTTATGGAACTAATAAAATACGTCTAACAATTTACTCGTTTATTCCCTTATACCTTTATATATTAACATGTACAATCATCAGTCATTTACATAAATACATATTTACTTGATAAGTATTCGTTAGTTCACTTCCCCACTTCACGGTTTGTTGGTTGTATCGCTTGATTTGTATACTTCAAGTAAATTATTGACATGTTTAAACCTGTGAATACCATTTTATTACGATTCATTTAAACACATAAACATTGGTATAAAGAAGCCCAAAAGTATTTACGTGTCACACAAGTTATTGAATTTGTGTGCGCTGGGACACCGCCTGCACACTCAAACCGAAGCACATGGTTATCTTGGGTGGTCATATCTTGAGCCGTTTACTCAGAAACCTAATCCACAAGATAGTGAAGCAACGTAAGGAAATGCAGTCCCATGGTTGCCTGTGACCGATAATAGGTTCATACACCATTCGTCCCATCAGGATCCTAGATCTGTACTCGCCAACCATTAACCCGTTAAAAGCTCCGGGCATGGGTTTTCATCCACTCAATTTCATAAACATCACATGTACTATGAGAATTCAGTAAGTAGGACTTCCATTTTGGTAGGTATATACGGATGACTATATAAGAGAATTTGGTGACTTCCTATTCAAATATATATATATATATATATATATATATATATATATATATATTTGAATTTGATTAACTCATTTACTCGTCAGCTGGAAATAGGTTTTATTAGTATGAGCAGTATATTTCATAAAAATGAATGTTTGTGTCCTTTCGATCTTACTGGTCAAATATTGTTAGTCTTAAATAATAAAGTAATGTTATTTGGTATACGGTTCCATTTTGTTATGACGAACTGACTGGAAATCAATCACATTGTCTCTGCTGTACTCTGAATCTTGAACATTCCTTCCACGCATTATTTAGTTTTCTTCTCCCAACTCATACCGTTCACGTGTAGTTCATTGTTTTTCCCTTTTTTTACTGATTTTTCTAGTATGGTATTATTGTGGATTTCGTAAAATATATTCAACAACCAACATAACCCTTTTTCACTTGTCAGTGACTTCATGGATTTGTGCTATATTTTGGTTTAATTGCCCCCAGCTTTCTTTCAACCTACTCTTACATCGCAAAACATAGCTCGTCGAGGCACTCGGTGGTTAGGCATACGCAAAACATGTCCTAACCACCTCAACTGATGAAGTTTTACTACTGCATCTTTTGATCCGCCACCCTTACCTAGTACCCGTTTCGGAAGGACGGCATTGCTTACTCACGATACTCGAGCAATGCTCCGTAGACAACTATGATCGAAAACCAGTAGCGTATGAATATCTTCTACTCGAACTGCTGCGCAGTAGGTTCGTCCCTTAGTTTGCAAATGGTATCTCGCCTACGCCATAAGTGACGCAAGTTGGTAAAAGCCAATCGAGCTTTCTGTATCCTTTTATATATATATAAAGAAGTTTGACTGTATCTCCGTCATTATGTATCACTGAAAATGTTCTTACTTACTTACTTTCGCCTGTTACCCCCAGTGGGAGCATAGACCGCCGACCAGTTTTCTCCAACTAACTCTGTCCTCGGCTTCCCTTTCAAATTCTGTCCAATTTTTGTTCATTCTTCTCATGTCTTTATTTCTGGGCGTAATGTGTTCCTTGGCATTCCTCTTTTCCTTTTACCTCGAGGGTTCCGAGTTAGGGCTTGTCTTGTGACGCAGTTAGGTGCTTTTCGTAATGTGTGTCCTATCCACTTCCATCGCTTCTTCCTGATTTCCTCTTCCACTGGAATCTGGTTTGTTATCTTCCACATTATGGTGAGAGAGATGGTGTCTGGCCAATGAATCCGAAGTATTTTGCGAAGACAACTGTTAATAAACACTTGTATCTTCTGGATGATGGCTTTCGTATTTCTCCAAGTTTTCACTTCATACAGTAGTACTGTCATGATATTTGTATTAAAAATTCTGATTTTGTTGTTGATTGATATTTGTTTTGAGTTCCAGATATTTTTCGATTGTAGAAACTAAACATGACGAAAGTTCATGAAGTTAATTGACAATCAAACTGACCTATATTAGTTGGTGTAGACTACTACTACTACCTGGTTTGAGGTTGGCGTGACAGTTGTAACTGATATTTAGAGATTTTCAATGATATGGTTCAAAATCCGTTTGCATCGGCACACAGATATATATATATATATATATATATATATATATAATCATTCTTTGTTTTCTCCCTTGAACTCTAAACTTTAGAATTTTTTATGACAGTGTTTTCATTTTTATGTATTTATTTCAGTTATTTATATTTTTTCTCAACGCTTATTTTTGATCCGTAATCTTTTCGTTTATTACTAACACTGTTACTACTTCTACTACTTTGGGATTATTTGCCTTGAGAATTCCATCCTTCTGTATTAAGCCAATATGATATGATATGTATGTGTTCAGAATCGAATGCCGCTTTAATTTCGAGAAATACCACTATTGTGAGTCTTTGTTCAGACGCCCCACAATAGTAGTATTTCTCGATCTTAAAGCGGCATTGGACTCTGTTGATCATGAGGTTCTGTGGTAGTGTCTGTCATTGAAATGTGTACCGAAGAGGTACATTAACCTTATACAAGCTCTACTCTAACACCACTGGTCGGGTGAGAGCCTGTGGCGAACTGTAATCAAAATTGATTACTTTAAGTGAAGTCCGTCAGGGCTGTCCACTTTGTCCATTCTTGTTTAACTTTGTCATAGACATGCTTTTAAAGTTAACATTATCTTCGTCAGACTTTTCAGGAGTGTACCTTCTACCAGTGTTGTGCGCGCTACTTATAAGTAGTATATGACGCGAGTGTAAACGTAATGTCTGGCAGCAGAAGATGGGGTAAGATCAAGAAAGGAAGAGTGGGAACACAATGGAATCTGTATGAAACGCATGAATAGTGAAATGTCAGACAATGGATTGATGATGGATTGAAGATTTGCAAATTAACGGTTACGATATGGTTTTCCTATTTTACTGAGTAACTCTGTAATTTTCGTTAAATACAATCCGGTTGCCCCACCTCTGTTCTCCTTCACTACACCAGGAGACATGTTGAGTAATGTCTTCGATCCCTATTATTCTCCTTTACCGCTAATTCTTCAACTATCTCCACCACTATGAGATTTGAACTGACAGTTGCGTCTCTGTGCTAATACGGTAGGGCAACATGAACTGATATATTTACGTACGAATTTCTACGTTGTAACTGACTGACTGATTGAATATGATATGACAACTTAAACTGACGTATGTACGTACGTACGAAGTTATACGTTGCAACTGACTGAATTGATTGACCAAAAATAATAATTTCCAACAGAAACTAATCTAACGAATTCAATATTAATGATTATTTTTCATTATAAAATTATGGAGATCTTTGTTTTATTTCTGAAATCATAAATCACAATCAATGGTATTCAACCTTGTCGAGTGTAGTCAGTAACTACTACCAAAGACAATGAGTATGAGGTTGCGCAAAAATGCTTCAATTGTTCAGAGTTAGACATTAACACTGTTGGATGCGCCTGTCCAGTGTTCCAGACGTTAAGCGTTCACGCGCAAGACCGAAGGTTCCTGGGTCTGAGTTCTGCGAGTAGCAAGAGTAAGTGCATGCACACTGTTAATAAGTCAGTCCCATATCAGAACGAAACAGCTGTCTTTCAGTGCTGCCAGGTTTCTTGTATGGTGGTCTAACAATAGTTCATGATTTCAGTAATGAGTTCCTATTATTATTATTATCATTGTTACTATTATTATTATTATCATTGTATATACTTTAATAGTGTGTTCATTGCGGTTATGTCACATCACTTTAGTTTAACAGTTTACTTATTAACCTACACCTGTTACCTTCAATGGAGTTACAGGCCACACCGATTAGTATTCTGCAAACGGAGTTAGTCATAACAGAGAGTTAGTTGATAATAAATACATGATTTTTTCTCATTTCTCTTATTTATTATCTATAGGCTATTGCGGTTGGTAATGGATTAACAAATTATAAATTCAATGTTAATTCCCTACTGTATTTTATAAATTATCATGGTTTAATTGATAAAACGTAAGTCAATTTAGCGTGTGTGTGTATGTGTATATTTGATTTCATTTACTAATATATACGGTTAAGATGTAATTTTTATATATACAGCTGTGGATATTGATTGAATTGATTGAACACTTTCGTAATTCGTGTTGATTTAAATCATGAACTAATCAATGGTAAAAACTACTACTATTTAGAAACTTGTAATCACTGAACAATCGTTGCGTCCTAGTATTATGGGACTGATTAGCAGTGTGCATCCACAAATGTGAAAACAAGATTTCAAACTGAGGATCTAGCATGCGAATTCTGGAACCTTTCTTTCTTCGAACTGTATTTCTTCTCATGAGAATAGTCATTCCCTATTTACTTAAGCCTATTACCCGCAGTGGAGCATAGGCTGCCGACCAGTTTCTGGTTAACGTTCTCTCAGTGAATTAGTTTTCTACAGGATGTGGTCGCCAACCCCCATGTCTTACCCTCCCCCATGATCCAGACTTGGGAACGGCAGTAATCCTAGAGGGGTTCCGGTCGGACTTATGAATAGTTATTACTTATATAAATAAATTGTTATGATTCTTACATAGTTTTGTTTCATGACAGCCTTTAAATGGCCTAGTACGGCTGAGAGTGAGGAAAGACATCTACTTCTCTCTAAGTGCTCTCATATGTCAACGTGTTTATATCTATTGCTATGGAATTCCTAAACATTGGTTTCTTGTGGCACAGATGTTGTTTACGAAATTAAGGAGATGAAAGGCGAATGTCCGGTCAGGGCTTAAACCGGGTTGTTCGGTGTGGAGGATCCACTAGCGAAAGTTAAATAACTCTTATTCCATATCAGTCATGCACAATGGCTCTAGGAACCAAAAAGAAAAAATGACGCATGAACCGACAGTCGGTCATCAGCTATCATACGATTGAATCTCTTAATGTTGCTCTACTACTTACTGCCTAGTAGATTAAATCTGTAGGCTAAAGGTTCGGCGAGTGAACTCCTAAGAAAATCATCTATTTCGATTCCGACAATGGGCTAACTCGCTCACAAATTCAATAGTTTGTTTGGTGCATAAATATTTAGGGACCTCTTTTTACCAGTAATTCTCATGTGTTTAAATAGTAATTTATTGAACAGATTACTACTATATCTGCACAAAAGTTAATTTGAAAAATTCGCCTCAATAATACTCCGATGCCTATAAGTAGAGCTCGTGAAGAGCAGACTTGTGAAAGCCAGGCTGGTTCTCGACCTGGCAACCTGAACTGATGTACGTACGAACGAAGTTCTACGTTGTAACTGTCTGACTGACTGGATTTAATCTACTAAGGAACATTTTGTAGAATTCAGTTTGGTTTACTTACTTTCGCCTATTATAACCCTCAATGGAGCAAAGGCTGTCGACTAATTTCCTCCAACCTACTCAATCATGAGCCTTCCTTTCTAGTTCTATTCAACTGTCGTCATTCTTCTCATGTCTGTCTTCATTTCTCGTTAGCATATTTTGTTATTTGGTCTTACTCTTTTCCTTTGATCTTGAGAATTCCGGGTGAGGGCTTGTCCTGTGTCGCGGTTGTGTGCTTTCTTGACCGTATCTCCTATCCACTTCCAGTGCTTCCGTTTGATTTCTTCCTCCGCTGAAATCTGCTTTGTTCTGTCCTACTGCAGGTTGTTGCTGGTAGTTTCTGGCCAACATTTTGTAGAACTATTCAATACATATAATCAGTCAGTCAGTTACAATGTAGAACTTCGTACGTAAGTACATCTGTAGTGATTGAGAACACAGGTGGAGGCAACCGAATTGTATTTAACGAAAATTACAGAGTTACTCAGTAAAATCGGAAAACCATATCGTAAATCGTTCATTTGCAAAGGATCAGTTCATCCTATGGAACTGGACTGTTCCTGTTGCCAAACATCAATCCATTGTCACTCTTCATGCGTTTCAAACAAATTCCATTGTTTTCTGACTCTTCCTTTCTTGATCTTCCCCCCATATTATGCTACCAGACTTTACGTTGACACTCACGCTATATACTACTTATAAGTAGTTCGCACCACATCACCACACTCGTCCCCCCTTTTAATAAGCTGTCGTCGTGGTCCTTCAAAACAGAGCTCCTGGTCAGTTAATATCACCTTCCGTATTCCGTGACACGATACACTATGCCGGATTACCACTTCGGTCATCGTTCTTGATCACTGGTCTGGAATGGATACGGCATCTATCCAACGTGTAGCGTCCACCAGTTCCCGATGCTGGAACACGGCGGCAGGCACACACTCGATAAATTGCGACGCCAAAGACTGTGCCCCGCCCACTCCTCACGGCGCAATCCGGTGAGCTCCATAGCAAGCACCAACAGGTCACCATCGGCCGACAGCCGCGCCAACCGGAACCTCTGCGGCGCCTCCTCCCTGTCCGCTGGGCTGTCGAACTCCATTATCAGCCGCCCGGTGACCGTCTCCCACGCCGTCTCCTTGGTGGCACCGTCCAGGCTGTCGTGCACCGCCTTCGCCTCACCTCCCCACAGCGTCCCCAGCACCGTCAACTCCGCCCCAAGCCCCCACCAGCTCCACCGTGGCCCCAAACTCCTCCAGGAAGCTCCGCCAATCTCCGTCCTGCAACTCCTTCGGCCACGGGTGCCCCTTCCTTCGAGCAGGCAGCGACACCAAATGTAGTGATTGAGAACACAGGTGGAGGCAACCGAATTGTATTTAACGAAAATTACAGAGTTACTCAGTAAAATCGGAAAACCATATCGTAAATCGTTCATTTGCAAAATAACAGTTCATCATCATATCGAACTGGACTGTTGTTCCTGTTGCCAAACATCAATCCATTGTCACTCTTCATGCGTTTCAAACAAATTCCATTGTTTTCTGACTCTTCCTTTCTTGATCTTCCCCCCATATTATGCTACCAGACTTTACGTTGACACTCACGCTATATACTACTTATAAGTAGTTCGCACCACAGCACCACACATCAGTCCAGGTTGCCATACAACATTAGCACAGATACGCAACTGTCAGTTCAAATCCCATAGTGGTAGCGATAGTAGAATTATTAGCAGCAATGGAGCAGATTCCGGTTCGAAGATATGATTCGAGAAGTATAATTCAGTGAGATAAATTTAGAAAGATAAAGATAATGAGAAATTCAGAAGGTTAGTATTTGAGAATTTAATGGATGAATGCACCTGCGCTATTGCAAACGATTTCGAGCCATATCATTCAAGGTCTCTAACTATCGAAGTCTTTTGTCTCTGCCTACATGACTCAGTCCACTTGTCGATGACTTCATGGATTTGTGACATGTTTTGGTTTGGCCGCCTCTAACTTTCTTCCAACCTACTCCTACACCACAAAACGTCGCTCGTCGAGGCAGTCGGTGAGTAAACATTACCAATACATATTGTAGTAGCAGTCATGATCAAGAGATTAACATTAAACTTAAAGGTATTATGTAGAGTTATGCTAATATCAATGTATAATATTCTAACAAAACTAAACTAATCATCATTATAGATAGACAGATAGACAGACAGACATTATAGAGTTGTTTTATCTATTCACCTTTTCTTTTCCCCATTTTTTCTTTAGTTCATGGAATGAATTAATTGATAAATGTTGCATTGATAAATGTTCCACTGTATGTATGTTCACTGATAATAAATCACCTGAATGTCAACAAATGGTAAGTTACATTATATGTATATATGTACGTAAATGTTTTTATGATTTACTACGTTGAGAATTGGGAGCGAGTCGACTTAGGATTGTCGGAAAACCTTTTACTCCAAACTAGGCTGATAAAAATTCTACTCAATGATCGCGAACAATGGTGGATAGCGAAAGCAAGAGCGATGAAAAAGGCAGTGGCGATAGGCGACAGCAGACAGTTGTTCTGACTTATCAAGGAAACCGGTATTAGGAATCCGAATGTGAATGAGACTATCTCGGAAAAGGATGGTCTTATGATTCATTCTCAACCGAGGAGATTGGATCGATTGGTAGAACACTTTAGGGATCAGTTCAACTGGCCTTCAGTCACATTTCGGTTGCCCAAGATCTCCAGTCATCCTGAATGGCAAGTCGATATAAGTACTCCGACTCTTTAGGAAGTTGAGAAAGTTGTAGGAAATCTGAATCGAAATTCTACATTGTGACTGACTGACTGGCTAAACGGTATTGGGTTCAAGTCCCGGGGTGAACATCAACTCTTAGATTTGGCAGGTACATATCCAGTTGACAAGTCTCAAATAAGGGTAAACGTGTTTCCTATAATCTCACCGCTAGCCACTGTCATCCATCTCTGCTTACAGTGCAATATTGAGGCTAATCCACACGAGATGCATCTATGCCAAAAAGGAGACTATGATTAATTGTAGTGGTCAACGTCAATGTCAACAGTCAAATGATCAATACAAATCAATTGTATTGTTATTGGTTGTTGTGCTTTTTTTCTGTTTATTTTCTTAGATAAGTCAACTATCTGAAGCTTCATTAAAAGGATTAAATCATTATAATTTATATTCGGAATGTGTTGGTGGTGTTCAAATGACCTCATTCAATAATCGTCATTCATTGATATCGATTCCTGAAATGTCTTCCATGTTAGCTACATCCAAACAATATGTTCATCATGATTTTGGTAATCTATTTCGTGATAATATCTATCATAAATATCGTCGATATGCTAAGTAAGTCAATGAGTAATAAAATGGAGATGTTTCGAATTGATGTGAAATATACCACAGAAAACATGACATCACCATACTTAGCTTTTAAAAATTAAGTTGTATGAGAAAGTACTTCCCGGTTATCAACACTGTGGAAAGGTGTTTCTTGAGGAACCTGGAAAAGAAAGTAGATTAGTTTTGGTCTTAACGACCTGGGAGCGTGACCGCAGAGTCCAAGGGACAACTGCTTGAGGCCGGTCACACACGGCCCTTTTATGGGTAGTATTTAAAGTGTTAGCTCCGTTCTTGTTTAAAAGCCCTTACCTCCGGAGACGGAAATCCTTGAGGTAGGATGAGGTGTGACATTTTTAGGTTCAACCATTTCTAACCCCTTCCTTTCTTGTGTGAATACAGCAGATGCTGGTTATCCCAAGGAGACACCTTACTAAAGTCACTCAGCAATACGACTTTCCCTCTGATCTTTAGTAGCTGCTTTTAGTCTCATCGTTCTCCGATCGACCTGCCCGGCATGGTAGAACCTTCAGGAACATACGTTCTAGCCAATATAGCTCGGTTGGGTCATCACGATAGTCAAGCCTGACCATCACGTGTCAAGGTGTCAGCTACGATCGGGCAAGTAAACACTAAATTTAAGTACACATTGGCTGAGATTTCGTATTGGTTAGGTACGTAACTGAGCATTCATTAAGATACTGTAAATATATATAATTTTTATTATTTTTGTGGTCTCTTCGGATTTTTTCTTATCTTTACGCTTTGTGTACTTATCGACAAATTTCTGTGGATATCCCTTGTCTCTTAATCAATTTTTAACATTCACTAACTCCTCTTCTAGTGTGTTGGTTCTGTTAAAAAGCGTCTTAACCACTGCGTTTTTGTAACTGAATGAATAAAAATCATTAAGATTCATTTGTGTACATAGAAAACCGGACCGCAGCACGTCAAGAAATTATTAGGTAAGGATGGTAGATCAGTAGATGAAGTAGTGAAACTTCATCAATGAGGTGCTTGGGATATGTGCTACGTATGCCCAACCACTGATTGCCTCGACGAGAGATGTTTCGCGATGTAGGAATTGGTTGGACGAAAGTTAGGGGCGGCGAGACTAAAACATGGCGCAAATCCATGAAATCATTGACAAGTGGAATGAGTCATGTCAGTCAGTCAGTCAGATGCAACGTAGAACTTTGTACATAAGTACATCAGTTCATGTTGCCAAACCACATCAGCACAGAGAAGTAATCGTCAATTCAAATCCAATAGTAGAAGAGGTAGTAAAAGTATTAGAAGTAATCGGAGAGGTTAGAATTAGAAGATATGATTTAAGAAGTATGATTCAGTGAGAAAAGTTTAGAGAGTCGAAACTGGGGGGTTGAGGAATCCAGAAGATTAGCATTTGAGCGAACACAGAGAATAAATGCACCGGCGCCATTGCGAACGATTTTGAGTCATGTCATTCAAGGTCTCTAACCATCGATTATTATCATCTCGCGGACCCCAACCAGGTAGTCGACAATTACCGACATGGCTCAGTCCACTAGTCAATGACTTCATGGATTTCTGCCATGTTTTGGTTTGGCCGCCCCTAACTTTCTTCCAACCTATTCCTACACTACAAAACAAGGCTCGACGAGGCAGTTGGTGGTTGGGCATACGCAACACATGTCCCAACCACCTCAACTGATGAAGTTTCACCACTTCATCGATTGATCTGCCATCCTTACCTAGTACCCGTTTCCTAATAACAGCGTTGCTCACTCGGTTGTCCCACGATATACGAGCAATGCTTCGAAGACACCGATGATCGAAAACCAATAACCGACGAGTATCTTCTACTCTCATTGGCCATGTTTCACAGCCATAAAGTAAGACGGAGCGAACCACTGCGCAGTACACTCGTCCTTTAGTCAGCAAACGGATATCCCGCCTACGCCATAAGTGACGCAGGTTGGCAAAAGCCAATCGAGCCTTCTGTATCCGAGCTGAGATTTCGTCAGTCACCAGGCCATCGGCACTGATGAGACTCCCCAGATAAGTGGAGCGGTCAACACGCTCGACTACTTCACTCCCTATCACTAGTTCAGGTGCCGATGCAACCCAATCTTGAAGCAACATTTTGCATTTCGATGGGGAAAACCGCATCCCGAACATGCTTGCGTTGTTGCTTAGGGTAGTCAGAAGACTCTGCATTTTTTCAGCGTCTTCACTAAGTAGGACAATGTCATCGGCATATTCTAAGTCAATAAGTGAGCCACCTGGTAGAAGGTCTACTCCTGAAAATTCAGACGAGGATAATGTTATGTCTAGGAGCATGTCTATGATAAAATTAAACAAGAATGGAGAAAGTGGACATCCCTGACGGACACCACTTGAAGTAGAGAATTCCGGTGACAGGTCGCCATAAGCCCTCACTCGACCAGTGGTGTTCGAGTAAAGGGCTTGTATAAGGTTAATGTACTTCTTTGGTATACCTTTCAATGACAGACACTGCCACAGAACCTTACGATCAACAGAGTCAAATGCCGCCTTAAGGTCCAGGAAAACAACTATTGTAGGACGCCTAAATGTGTGTCTGTGTTCCAGGACCTGTCGTAGTGTGAAAATGTGGTCTATACAGCCACGTCCAGGTCGAAAAGCAGCCTGGTTTTCTCGAGTCTGCTCTTCACGAGCTTTCGTTAAGCGTCGAAGTATTACTGAGGCCAATATTTTAGAAACTATATTAGTTAAACTTATTCCCCTGTGATTGTCACAAGAAGACTTTTGACCTTTCTTATAGATTGGGACAATCAGTGATTGAGACCAGTCGGATGGGATTGCGTCCAGTTCCCAGATTCTACCTAAGATCTCAGTCAACCTAGCTGATAAAACTGGACCACCATCCTTAAATATCTCAGGGGTCAGTCTATCAGGACCTGCAGCTCGTCCTCGTTTCAGATTTCCTAACGCTTTCTCAACGTCATTAAGACTAGGGGGACTTACGTCGATTTGCCATTCAGGATGACTGGAGATCGTGGGTAACCGAAGAGTGGCTCGTGGCCAGTTGAACTGATCCCTAAAGTGTTCTGCCCATCGATCCAGTCTCCTGGATTGAGAATGGATAATAAGACCATCCTTTTCCGAGATAGTCTCACTCACATTCGGGTTCTTAATACCAGTTTCTTTAATAAGGCGGAAAAGTTGTCTAGTGTTCCCTATCGCCGCTGCCTTTTCCATCGCTTTTGCTTTCGCCACCCACCACTGTTCACGGTCGTTACGCAGACTTTTTATAAGTCTGCGCCTAAGCTGACTACGCTCTTCATCATGCTCAGAGTCAGGTGGGATGCGTTTTCGAGCATCCATCAGTTCGGTGGATGCGACTGAATCCACGGTTTCATCCTAGCCTCATGGTTTACCTTCCTAGCATATCACTGCTGTTTCCACAGCCTTTTTGATATCATACCAACCTGCTTCTGGATGGGAATCGCTTGCATGGTTGCTTAACTCTCTCTAGTGCTCCTGAAATATTTTCTTGGTTTGATTATCATTAAGTAAAACCCTAAGAGGCTTCCTTACGGTGTCTTTCCTACGTCCAGTAAGCCAAACAGATACGAGCTCGCACTAGAGCATGATCTGAATCCAAACATGTGCCCCAGAACGAGCGACAGTCTTCTATTGAACCCCTCCATCGGTGGCTGGCGATGTGATCTAGTTGAGTCCAACGTGAGACGACTTCAGG